GAGGACCATCTCCGGATAAGTAAATGTGGATACAATTTATAAGCCTAGCTATAATTCTGTCAATACTGATTGTTCTATTATGTTATTACTGCAAATGCTGCAAATGTCTATGCCCAGAGGAAGGTTTGCCATGCCCATGTGTAGTATAAGCATGTTTCTATTACATACGCTAATGTTCTTACCATTTTTGCCTATACTGAAAAAGGAGAAATCTCTAGAAAGATGCCCACACTGTGTATACCCTACCTGGGTAAGAAATACCATAGTTAAAACTCTACTGTACCAAACCTACTATGAATGTACAGGAACCAAGTTAGGAACCTGCGCATACAACCAGACCACCTATTCAGTCTGTGACCCAGGAAATAATCAGCTATATGTATGTTATTACCCAAAACTCTTACTTTATGAATTCTGATTTGAGGTACATATTAAATCAGAGGGAGAAAAAGAAGGAGAGCTTATAGCTTGAACAAAAGCAGCCCCTCCCTCCTATAAAAGGCACATTTCCTTGTACTTTGATGCCTGCCATGCCACATATGTTCATAATCTTAAAAAAAAAAAAAAAAAAAAAAAAAAGCAGTCTGCAATGGTTTAACACAAGAGAGGCTTAACAACAACAGTCCTAAACATCTGTATGGAGAACCACAAATCGGATGCCCGGACTGTAACATTCAGTGGTCTATGCTAACACAGCTCCAACACTTATATTCAGGAAGGACTGCTCTGCTAAATAGTATGTCAACCAAACCAAATTGTAAGACAAGGACATGCAATCCTTTAAATTTTACTATCTTAAAGCCAGAGCTACCTTTTTGGCCTACAGGACAGACAGCACTATTATGAGTTGATAGACAAGAAGCAGGCCTTGGAGTTCCACTACTGATTGTCAAAAAGACTAGAAGGACTCAAAAGTGTCCAATCCTGCAATTCTGGGTCCATAAGTCATTCTATAAGCATTTTGAACAGCCAGTGCCTGAGCTTCCCCATCACCCAAAAACTTATTTGCTCAACTAGCTGAAAACATAACTGGCAGCTTAGGAATTTCCTCATGCTGTGGATGTGGAGGAACTAATATGGGGGACCAGTGGCCATGGGAGGCAAAGGAATTAATGCCAAAAGATCACTTCACTTCACCTAACCCTGCCAGTGAACCAACAGCCTCAGTCAGTGTTTGGTTGGTAAAAACCCCCATAATTAAAAAGTACTGTATCACCCGATGGGGAAAGGCTTTCACAGAGGCAGTAGGAGAAACAACCTGCCTAGGGCAACAGCATTATGATGAGACTAAAAACAAAACTCTATGGAGAAACGCCCAGAATGACTCCTACTTACCAGGTCCAAACCCTTTCTCTCGATTCTCTACTCTAAGCCACACTTGGTATCAGGTAGAGGCTCCAAATGCTTGGAAGGTACCCTCTGTCCTATAATGGATCTGTGGAGCATGGGCATATCAGCAACTGCCAGCTAAATGGACAGGGGCATGTATGTTAGGAACAATCAAGCCATCCTTTCTAATTCCTCTAAAGCAAAGGGAACTCTTAGGATATCCAGTTTATGATGAAAATAAAAGAACTAGAAGAAGCATAATCACAAAAATAGACACAAATGTCAAAAAGATGTGGACATAGGAGACTAAAAAGATAATTGTCTCCTGAAAGAATCATTAAATATTATAAGCCAGCTACCTGGGCGCAAGACGGGTCATGGGGATATTGCACTCCAATCTGTATGCTCAACTGCATCATAAAGTTGTAGGTAGTCCTTGAAATTATAACCAATGAAACATCAAGGGCACTAGGTTTATTGGCAATACAAGCAACACAAATAAGAAATGCTGTATATCAAAATAGATTAGCTTTAGATTACCTCTTAGCCTCAGAAGGAGGAGTAGGTAGAAAATTTAATTTAACCAACTGTTGCCTAGAAATTGTTGATAATGGCCAAGCTATTATGGAAATCACAGCTAGAATGTGCGAGCTGGCCCATGTTCTAGTTCAGACTTGGTCCGGGTGGTCCCCGGATTCCTTGTTTGGAAAATGGTTCTCAACCTTTGGAAGATTCAAAACCCTCATTGGTAGGTTCTTGCTTATTCTTGGCATCTGCCTCATCCTCCCTTGCCTTTTACCTCTGTTTATTAGGCGTATTTAGTCAACTATAGAGGCAGTAGTAACCCGACACACTACCATGCAGTTGATGGCATTAATCAAATATCAGCCGCTGCCAGTAGAAGAAGCTCAGCTCTGTGAAGAGGTGGCAAAAGTGGTACTTTTTATTAACACCTTTGTTATAAAAAGCACCAAAGGGGGGAATGGAACAGGAATTAAAAGAAATTAAAGGATGTGTAAGCAGAAACTCGGTTGTATGTAAGAAAACCCAATTCCCCCTGAGAAAAAGAAAGAGCTGGAGTCCTTTAAAAATTAACTGCCTGTTTTTCTGTGGCCAGTGAGCCTTATCTCTCCTCCTTTCCCAGGCATTGTAAAGACCCTGTTTCCCGAGCTGTGCAGCTGCAAGGTCACTAGACAGATAAACTCAAGTTGTAAAACCTGTTTTTCCTTGAAAATTAAGAAATGATGTAATGCATGTCTCAATTAATTGAATAACTGTCTCTGTTTCTCACTTCTGTAATATGCTTCCCCCTGCCCCACGATATGCTTAAAAAGTAACTTAACTCTTTGTTCAGGGCTCAGTCGTTTGGATGTTAATCTGACTGGGCTGGTGCACCTAAATAATAAATATCCTCCTGAACCCCATCGATCTCTCTGATTCCTTATCAATCCCGCTACACTTTGAGAACCTACAGCACAATGGTCAGGCATTGATCAGACATTGTGGCAATCCTCATATTTCCTGGCACAGGGCCCTGTAAACACAGCAGCCAACAAAGGTTACTGAGTGAAGTAAATATAGGTACAAAAAGACTTATAGAACCATTATTTTCACAATAAAACATCCTGCCCCTGTTGCCCACTGCCAGAGAATAACCATCATCTTTCTTCTTTCAAGGACCCTTGTGAATAAACACAAACAAACTGGCAGAAGCAGGAAATATGAGGCAGCATGTTTAATCATCTCCATCTATTCAAAAACCCCATGAGATAGTTATCATTGTCATTCCCATTTTACAGATTAGAAAACTAACACAAACGGAGAGTGATCAAGTGAGATTAGCCAGCTACCAACAGGTAAGCAAAGCAAAATTTCAGATTCCAGCAGTTTAGCTCCAGGAGGAGCCAGCCTGAGGAGGAGACATCTTAGTTAAAATCAGAAAGAGGCTGTCAGATTGTCATCCCTTCCCATCTCTTCGAAAGTGAATTGGTCAAATATTTTCTAGCTGTTTTCTTACCCATCCTCTGGGAACATGAGGTATAATGGGTGCACTCATCCATTATGATCAGTCGTTGAGGTGACTGGAACCCACAGTACATGTAGGGGCCCACAAAACAGTTAAATTTCTTATATAAAATGAGGTTGATGAAAAGGGTCGTTGTGCAAGCAAAAATAGAATGAGTCACCCAAATGATGGAGGATAGGTCCTATAGTTGAAACCTACTCTCTATATTCAGGACATTAACAAGTCCTGCAGTATCTACAAAATACTTATTAAAGGAAGAATCTTAGAGCACTCAATCTGTCCTGGCTGTGTTTATTTGACAATAAATAAAATGTATTTATTCTTAAGAGCTCAGAAAGGTATCTGTAGAAAAGGGCAGGAGTAGAGGAAAAGAGGGCTATGCAGCAGCAGGAAAGAACGGAAATCACTGCAGGTCCACAGCACCAGTTCAGCGCAGAAGGTTAAGTGCGCATTTGTAATGGGTCTGTAGCCGGAGACATAGCAGAAGCTGCACTATCCACAGTCACAACCAGAGGCAAAGGAAGGATGCCCTGCAATTTTAGAAATCTTGGCTGCAGCTGGGAACGGTGGCTCACGCCTGTAATCCCAGCACTTTGGGAGGCCGAGGTGGGTGGATTACTTGGGGCCAGAAGTTCCAGACCAGCCCGGCCAACATGGTGAAACCCTGTCTCTACTAAAAATACAATAATTACCCAGGTGTGCTGGTGCATGCCTGTAGTTCCAGGTACTCAGGAGGCTGAGGCACTCCTGAGTACCTGCACAACACATGCAAGCATCCACTCCATCCTACTCCCTGCCCCCCGCCCTCCTCCCCCTTCCCCCCCTCTTCTCCTCCCCCCTCCTCCCCCGCTTCTCCTCCCCCCTCCTCCCCCGCTTCTCCTCCCCCCTCCTCCCCCGCTTCTCCTCCGCTTCTCCTCCCCTCTGCCCTACTCCCCCCTACCTTACTCCCTCCCCTCGCCCTACTGCCCCACCCCAACACGTGCTCTTCTGCACCCAGGGCAAGGCCAAGCCCCTAAGGCATGCGCACCTCATTAGGCCCAACCCACAGCAAATAGCGGGAAGAGGAAAGGCAAGAAAGGAGGTCTCTAAGTGGATACACTGTTACTGAATCTAGGCGCCCAGAAGATGGAGGTTGTAGTGAGTCCAGATCGTGCCACTGCATTTCAGAGACAGATCGAGACTGTCTTAAAAACAAAAACAAAAACAAAAAACAAAGAAAAGCAATCTCAGATGCTCTAAGCATTGTGCGTGTTTCTACCCTTGCACTTTGATGTGGATTCATTACTAAAAATTAATAGTGAACTTTCTCAAGGAGGGTGCTCCATTTTTACATAGTGCATTTGCGCAGCCCACAAGCTTTGCAAATCCAGGCCCAAGCTCCTGTTCCTGGAGACCTAGGAATCATGGAGCTAGTGTGAAATCTCTTATCGCCATAAAATGGGCTTGCACAATTCCGCACAGCAGCTTCCCCAAGTTCCACACTAATGCATGCCAGTCTACAGCACAACGCATGCAAGCACCCGCCCACGCCCTACTCCCCCGCCCACGCCCTACTCCCCCCTCCCCCGCACCCTACTCCCCTCCTTACTCCTCCCCCATCCCCTCCCCCTACCCCCGCCGCCAACACGTGCTCTCCCCCACCCAGGGCAAGGCCAAGCCCCTGACGCATGCGCACCTCAGCAGGCCCAACCCAGAGCAAAGAGCGGGAAGCAGAAAGGCAAGAGAGGAGGTCTCTAAGTGGATACACTGTTGCTGAGTCTAGACGCCAGAAGAACCTTCCAGGCTGCGACTCACAGTTCTAGCACTGCCTAGGAGATCGTGGTGGCCCCAGCTTAGAATCTGCAGAAGCACACAGCTCCATCCATACCACTCAGGGTATGGAGCCTCTGGACCAGTCTAGCCAGGATATCACCAGCTTGCTCAGCCTTGGAGTCGACTACGAGAAGGAACTACAGGGTCAGTACCTGAATAGGACTCATGCTTTTGCGAACTCAGGAAACCGAGGTTCCCTGGGAGAGGCGAGTCGACTGGATGATGTCCCCGCACTACCACTGCTCTGAGTGCAGCCCCTCACCGCCTCCTTCCAACACCCTCAGGACCAAGGCCTTGATCTTTCTCTTGGGGTTTCTGCTTTTCCAGATATGAATGCTGCGGTGCTGTCGCCTACTGAAGAGTTCAAAGAGGAGGAAGAGGATGCACAGTCTGAGCCTGAGCAAGGCACAGCAGCAGCAGGAGAAGAGTCAAAGTTGGCAGGAGCCCAAGGTGGAGAAGAAAAAGATGGCGGCGGCGGCGCAGGAGCTCCTGGCCTCCTATGGAAAGAAAACCGCGAGGGCAGCAGCGGCAGCGATGGCGACGATGAGGACAGCGACCAGAGCGAGAAGGAACCCAGACAGCAGGATTCGCCCCCACCGGGCGCTGTCGGGGGGCTGGAGCCTGGCAACGCGCAGGAGCCCAGCGTCCACGGCTTCACCCCCTTGCAGCTGCAGGAGCTGGAGCGCATTTTCCAACGCAAGAAGTACCCCAGCGAGTTCCTGCGGTAAGCCCATTGCTGGTTGGCGCGCGGTTTGCAGGGAGCATGTGCTGCTCCAGGGTGGCGTTTGGCTTTCCCCCAGCCCTCTCCTGCCCTCTCCCCTCCTGAACCAAAACCCACCTGGGGCCTGGTGTCGCTGCCGTCCCCTCCCCGCAGACCCCTGGCACCTGGTGGGTTCTGTAGTGGGGCTGTGCCTATTAGGCATCATGTATAATTTAAATGAACCAAGTTGGGCAACTTTGGGCTGAGGTCGGTTATGATAAGTAACTCCTATCGCAGCCGAGGCAGAAATAAAGGTTTGGTACAGCAAGTGCAGGGTCGCATCTTGACCTTATTTAAAATTCTGAGAAGTCTGTCGTTCGGCTGGGTTTCCTTTGGTGTTAATTGTTCTAAGTTTCAAATAGTAAGAACATATTTATCTTGATTGACGATTTTTTTTTTGTTATGGGGGGTTATTTTTTATTTGTTTGAGAAACAGTCTCGCTGGGACACCCAGGCTGGAGTGCAATGGTGCGATCTCGGCTCACTGCAACCTCTGCCTCCCAGGTTCAAGAGATTCTCCTGCCTCAGCCTCCAAAGTAGCTGAGACTACAGGCGCCAGCCACCACTCCCGGCTAATTTTTGTATTTTTAGTAGAGATGGGGTTTCACCATATTGGCCAGGCTGGTCTCGAACTCCTGAGCTCAAGTGATCCTCCTGCCTTGGCCTCTCAAAGTGCTGGCATTACAGGCGTGAGCCACCGCCTTGATTTTTTTTTTTTTTTTTGGCATCTCCTTTATTTGTGACCTGAGAGAAAAGTTCCTAACGTGAGGCTCAGCTGGATGTTACAGAACAGCCTACTGCGTGTGGGGAGTTGGTAGAATAAAAAATTAAACACAAGAATGAAACGACACCCACAACTCCAAATGCTAAACACGTGTGGTTTCTTCCCATAGGAGGAGGCTGGCAAGAAGCATGAATGTGACTGAACTCGCAGTGCAGGTCAGTAAACCGAAAAAGCAGTCGGGCAGGGGAGCCATTCTAAAACCTGCTTCAGGGCTTCGACACAACTTTGACCCAGACATTGTCATCTTGGTGTTTTTGTGTTTTTTTTCATGTATAGGCAATGAGGTCTGAATTTTGGGATCTTTGTGGCTGGAAAATGCAGCAAGGAAAGCTCAGCTTGTGGAAATTTCCCGTTACCAGAGGGAACATGACTATCCACGGGAAAAAAAATTAGTACTGAACGGTTTCCTTTATTCCTTGTGTATAAAATATATTATGCACTTGAATAAATTATAAATATATAAATATATGTATTCCAAATTACAAATATATATATATATAAAATATATGAGTGTAAATTAAATATAGCATAATATATAAGATTAAACTCCTAGCACTGGTATCCTTTAGGTAGCACTTCCATGTGGAGGCATCCTGGGGTTTTCTGACCTGGGGATTATTCAAATTAATGCTCCAAAGAGCTCCATTAAACTAAATTATTTAATATATTTGAAACCAAGCATAAACTCTTTGGTTAAGAATTTATAAATGTTTAGGCATTGGGGTAAAGGAATAATTCACAACCAGAATGTATGTTTCCTGAAGCTGAGACTGATGGGGAGGTGATAGCATAAAGTTCAAGTGCCTGGTCCTCCTACTATTGTTTTTAAGTATTTGGTAAAGCCTTGTAGAGAGTGGCAGCTCTAAATTTTAATTTTCTGGAATACTTTGATTTGGCAGCCTGAAAACATTGCTGACCTAGTTAGTTTTGCATTATGGTACAGATAGCAAAAAGGTTTGCAACCTTTGCAAGTTTATCTACAAATCAAAACAAATTTCAAGATCAATTTTGCATAAATTTCCACCAACCTAAGAAAGATAGAAGTGTTAGGCAAGAATTGTATAAAGTAACACTCATGGCTTGGGGAAACTGCCCCCATTCAACTTTTGAAACTACCAAATGCATCAGTGAATATTTTCTTGAGCAATTTCTAGCATTTAAGAGATTTTTTGTTTTTTCCAGTTTGTTGTACTAATAGGAAGAGATGTGTTTTGTGTTATATGTTGATAGTGGGGGATGGCTCTCAGGTCAGGCTAGACTCTTACCTGTGGCAATTTGAAATACCTTTTTATTTGCTCAGGCAGTGATAATAAATTTGTAGGTCAATGGATCCAAAGGAGTATTTGCAAAAATGGAAAAGGAGAAAGAAAAAGCAGGATGACCCTAATAGCCTTTCTGCAGAGCTCATGTTTGTGAGTGCAGTGAGGGAACTATGCTGCGATTCTGTCAATGGTGGCATGTAGAAAAGCAGCCTGACAAAATGGGGCACTGAGTGTTGACATCCTGTTGCCCACCATTTTCAAAGGCAGGCAATGCCAATTTGGGGGAGATGAAATATTGACGTTTGGGTGAATTGCCTTTCCCTTCCCTGGGTTTACATAGCATTCACTCAATGCAGTTCTGAAGGCAAAAGGACCACTCTCACTCAGCAAACAAGGGAAAAGGCATGATGTTCTCATTTATTGCCAAACATTTCAGCATGAATATCTCCAAAAAATTTTAATAGACGTTTCCTCCCTCTGTATTGTAACAATAATAAGGGCTGTTTTATGAAACCAACACTGAGAATGGGGACCTAATGTTGGCCCATAGCACATTTAGCCCACTTTTGGCATTACTTATGTTTATGAACCTTTGACCACAGCCACATTGCAATTGCCTCTAAACAAGCACTATTACAGTAGGCTTAAAATTTAGACTATGTATTCATGAGGGAGAAGGTCTCCGAACAGTAAGATGGGAGAAAGAAATGGGGCATCAAACAGGGAGAGGAGTCCCTTTGTCCCGTAAAATTTGCAGTTTGGGAACTTCTAGAAGGATCAAAATACAATGGAAATGTCATTAACTAGAAGCTTGGGGGATAGTGTTGTTTAATGGACAGGTTTTATTTTTTGGTCTTTTAACAGTAGGCAGGTGTTTAGGGAATAGTGTTTGTTGATACCTCTTCCACATTACTACTGAACATGTTCAGAGATGCCTATTTGGACACTCCCGCTTTGGGGATGCTGATGAGATTGGGATCTTCTGTTTGAGTAGTGAGGCTAGATGGCTGATGGTGTCCCATGGAGCTGGGCAACCAAGTCTTTCCCACATCCTGGGACTGGGGAGAACCAAGTGAGCTGACCTTGTCCTTAGCCTGGGAAGAGTTGGAGGGAGGGATAAGTTGGAGCATGCAGAATTAGCAATGCTTCCTTTCTCTCGAACTCTCAACTGGGCAAAGCTTTTTGAGAATTTTTGTGAATTTGGACAACATTTGTGTCCTCCTTTCACAAAACTTCAAGCTGAAGTGTGAAGACAGTGTCTAGGGCTTCAGATACCCTCATTTCCCAGCAAGACAATCCATAAACTCCCTGAGCCCCCTGTAACGAGACTTGCCTTGCAATATACCATCTTTTTAATTCTCAAGGAGTTTCGGAAAATGAATGACCCATTAGAGGTTCTTGAAGGAAAGAAAACTTGTTTTAAAATACAGTGTACTCTTACTGATTTTTTACTTTACACTGAGGATGGGCTTTTCAAAATGGGGGCCTCATCCTCTTGGTATGACTTTAAAAGGCACCCTCCCCATTTTTTCCAAGCTCAGCTTCCCCCACGACCAGGGTGACAGTGGCCTAGTAAGTAGTAGTTGGTGGGCAGCTGGATAGCTGATGGTCTGGTATCTGCAAGCAGATATGCCACACACAGCAATACCAGGAGGGATCGAGTTCCACTCATCAGCTACACCTGCACCCAAGAGTGGAAAATGTAATATTACAGATGAAAGGACAGAGACAAAGAAATAAGCCAAGCCAGAGCATATGTAGCACATACTTGGAGCTCACTATGGAAAGGTGTGGTGTTCACCTTTCTAAGATATTTTAGTAGTCAGGAAGTAGCTTGCCTTGATGCACCGGAAAAGGTTAAGGGCAGAGAGAGTTGCTTGTTGTGTGTTTTCCCGTGATGAAATTAAATGCTCAATATACTAAACCTGTTTCTTTTTTCCTCTGATTGAAGATTTGGTTTGAGAATAGAAGAGCCAAGTGGAGGAGACATCAGAGGGCATTAATGGCGAGAAACATGCCGCCCCTCATGGTCGTGGGCCAGCCTGTCATGGTAACTGCAGTTGAGGCCATAATGGCACCCTTGTCCATCAGCAGGATGAGAGATGGTTACTTCTGGGGCTACAGCCATCCCAGCACCCTGTGTTTCTCCATGTCACCCTTTCCTCCTCCGTCCTTGCCCCTTCCAACTGTGTTTCTTCCACCTATGCCTCCCTCTGACGAGGCCCAATTTGGCCGGTTCCCTTTTGTTATCGGGCATTCTTTCACATTCCCCAATGTGTAAGGGATACCCTCTGTGCTACTTTTTGCCAGAGTGTGTTTGAGCCAGATTCGTAGTTTGCGTAGCACCCCATCAAGAGTAGTTCATCAAATGTCTATTAGAAAAGTAGATTATTGACCCATTTTTAGGGCACTTTTAAAAATGTTTCTATAAATATGTGGAGGGTATGTACATTTGTTTTGTGTGTCACATGGGGTCAGTAAGTTCTGAATAAAAATTGTTAAGAAATGCCGTTCAAACCGAATGTCACGGACTCTCCTCTCATGCAGTAATCTTGAGTCACCATCTGGGGGTTGTGCATGCCACAGAAGTTTCCCATGTGCCCATGGCAGGCTTACACTGACCCACACATTCTCTTCCACCCCCACCCCCAACATCCCATACTCATCTCCTCTCTGCCCCATTGATACCAGATACGTGTGCAAGATGGGGTGGTGTGAGTCCCTAATGAGAGAATAGTGTATTTCAAGGCACTGCCAGGGTGGAAAACAGCAAAACCAAAATGGTATCGGGAAGGAAGCTAGCCCACTCTTAAAAATTCATTAAGTTTTTTCTTGCTATGGAAGACTTCTTTAAAGTAATTTTCTTTTAAAAATGTAAATGTAAATAATGCCATGAAATTATACACTGATTTAATGGCTACAATGGCAAATTTTTATATGGTTTACCACAACAAGAGAAAAGGAAAAATATACCAAAAAGTTTTAAAAAAGTGATTATGAACATTGTGGTGATCCTGTGAAGTGATTGCAATGCCCGCAGATAAGGAGTCATGGTTACAACAATGTTTTCTCTGCAAATTATTTGATGGCCACTTTCACAATGCTTAGGTTTTCAGCCTGACGGAAAATTCCATTTTCTTGGGTGAGCATGAACTTTCTGTCAAGCTGTCTGCTGCTATTCATTCCCCACTTCTCTCTTTACAATTGTGGGTGTCAAGCTTCAGCCACACAATTGCATTTGATGTGAGGGTTTTGCAAGGAGAAGGAGGTTTCTTTGTACCCCTGAAGTCACAAGCCTTGGTGGGAATAGGGAAAGTCCATGAATTCACTATGCATTTATGCATGCCCTTGGGCCAAGTGGATTCTTTTTTCTTCTCCAATTGAGATTTTCCCTTTCTTTCTTTCTTTCTTTTTTTTTTTTTTTGCTATTGTTCTCATTGTATTGTGCTTTGTATAATTATTTACAGTAAGTCCCGCATGTCAGTGTACATTCAGTCGGGAAATTGTTTCCATTTGGTACATTTTGTTCCAGTCTGTCTATTCCTGCTCATTATTTTGTTTTTCTACATTCAGTCTAAAATATTTGGTAGCCTAGAGGTACTCAGAAATAGGCAAAGAAAGGTAAAAGAGGAGGAGGGGAGATTGAAGTCATACTTCCATTATCCCTCCTCGTGGTTATCATATTCATAACATTTTTACACCATCAAAAGACATTTTTAGCCATATATGTTTCCTTTATATAGAAAATGAGATCTCCTGTACTCAGTTGGCATTTGTTTTCATGTATCTGATAAGTACCTCGTAGAATTATAGGTCAAGACATTGTCTGGCTCTGGTAACCTAGATTCTGAATTTCAAAGCAGAGTTCTTGTACCTTATGAAATTCAAATTCATAGAATTATAGGTAGGATGCCGTTTCACTTAAAATCACATAAAATGAATAGAAACTGACCTTGAACAACACATTGTCTAGGTAGCATACACTGGGACTAGTTCAAGGGGCTGGGTAGAAAACAAGTTAACAGTTTTTTTTTTTTTGATGGGGAATATTACTGGAGACAGTACCCTTAAAACTTTCATTCCCTTTTTATTAGCAGCTAACATCTTATATGCCTTTACTATGTGACAGGCAATAAAATAATTTCCTTGGATGATTTTGTTTGATGCTCAAATGAATCCTAATAGTGAGGTTCTAAAGAAGAGGAAACTTGTCCATGGTCCAAAGCTAATCAGAGGAACAGGATGTGAAACCAAGTTTGTCTGGCTCCAGAGCCCATGCTTTGTCAAGTTTAATTCAGCAGTGGTGCACTGGGATGCCACAGTTAGGGCAATCTGGCTTTCAATCCCAGATGTGCCACTTCCCAGCTGTTTCCCCCTGGGCATTTTACTTAAGCTCTATAGTTTCATTATTATTCTTTACAAGATGATAATATATCAGAATTGATGAGAGTAATAAATAACATATGTAAGTGGCCTTCCACAACGCCCAGTCACAGAGTAAGCACACAGAAATGTTTTCTACTATTATTCTATATTATCTTCTATCACATTATTATAACCTGTTGTCCCACCTTTCCTATGTGGTATAACAGAAAGAGACCTGATTAAAAATAAGGTGGTCTGGGTTCTTGCTGCAGCTCTACCCTGTCTTTGTTTCCTTGAATGAGTTGCTTAACCTACTATATCTGTGCTGTCTCATGTGTTAGGTCATTCTTGTTTTGCTATAAAGAAATGCCTGAGGCTGAGTAATTTATAAAGAAAAGAGGTTTAGTTGCCTCACAGTTCTGCAGGCTTAACAGGAAGTGTGGTGCTGGCATCTGCTTCTGGTGAGGACCTCAGGAAGCTTACAGTCATGGTGGAAGACAGACTGGGAGCAGGCATCTCACGTCATGAGAACAGGAGCAAGAGAGTGGGTGTGGGAAGTGCCACACACTTTTAAACAACCAGATCTTGTGGTAACTCGCTCACTATTGCAAGGACAGCATCAAGCCATGAGGGTTCCACCCCCAGGACCCAAACACCTCCCAACAGGTCTCACCTCCAACACTGGGGAAAATAAGGATTACATTTCAACATGAGATTTGGGCAGAGACAAATATCCCAACTTTATCATCTCACCTATAGAATCATGAGAGTAATAGTCTGACTCATGTATTTGGAGCAGGTTTAGTGGTAAAAGTTTATCAGGCATAGTTCAAAAAATCAGAAAAAATAGGAATGAATGCCTTATGAAAAAAATCATTTCACACATTGTTTTCTAGAGTGTAGAGAGTACCATTCATGTTTATATGCATGCTCAACCCCATTTTCCCAGATCAACGATTCCTGTTTGTCCTTAACAGAGAAAAGGAATCAAATGAAGTGAATAATACAGAGTGGAATTTTGTAAAGTGAGCAGAGTGGATATCTATAAAGGCTTTTCCATGTTTTGGCTATGATAATGATTTATGTGGCTGTCTATATAAAAAGGGTGTATCATTTAAACATGCCCTGAAATAGTTAATGATGAAATTTTGTGATGTCTCGATGTGCTTCCAAATAATCCCAGGTTGGGTGCAGGGATGTTGGAGAAATCAGCAAGGCTATTGATGAAACAAGACTGGATATTCATAATTGTTGAATGTGGGTGGTGGCTATATGAGTGTTCATCTTATGTTTCTTTTTATATATTTTTGACATTTCCTATAATTTTTTTTTTTTAAATAGTAAGGGTGGAAAACCTGGATGCTAACAGGGCCAGGAAGGTAACATAAATGAGGAAAACAAGCAGAGTGGGGACTGATAAACTGGGAAAGGATATGTCTCCCCAAAGGGAATGGCCACTACTCTGCTTCAGCCTAATATTTCTGGTCAGGACTTTGGGGTCCAGATCTGGCAGATTTTCCAGTTTGTAAAGATTGTCCATAAATAAGTGTTTACATGAAACCTTCTAGTCTTTAAATCTGAGCAATCAATTCAAATATGTTTTATTTCAAAGTACACTGGTCATCCAAAACAGATCTGCAGACCAGATAGAGGATGCAGCTTACACTTTGCAACCTATGCTTGAGAAGGTAACTTTAGGCAAATTCAAAACCCTGAGGCAATAGAATATGATTGAAAGCACCTCTAAAGCCAGCAATCGTAGGATGCCATCATTCCACCTTATTTATTTCTCATTATAAGTACTGTTCTCATGTGATAAAAGAAAAATTTCAGCCAAATTAAATTTAAAGGAGTTTAATTGAGCAATGGACGATTCGCAAATCGGGCAGCCCCCAGAATGACAGCAGATTCACAGAGACTCCAGTGCAGCCATGTGGTGGAAGATGTATAGACAAAAAAGGGAAACTACATACAGAAATCGGGAGTGAGATAGAGAATGGCTGGATTGGTTACAGCTCGACGTTTGCCTTATTTGACATTTTCATTTTACCAATAATTTTAAAAACTGTCTTTATTTCCCAAAGATTACTTAAGGCACATGAACTAAAAGGCATTATACTTTTTACTTTTCTGACAAAATATGTTATTTAAGCTTTTTTGTTTTTAAACCAATTAGTTAAAGCTCTTTTGTATATAAACATCACACACATAATACATATAAATACACAGACAGAAGTTAAAGGACACATTTTCCAAGCCAGGAATTGAACCCTGAACCCAGGCTGCCATTGTGAAGAGAGAGCATGGCCATGTGGTTACAAGGTCAAGTTCCCAAGGATATAGAAGAAAAGAGGGAAACCTTATCCATTTTTTTTTTTCAGGGACCTGCAGCAAAGCTTATAACTGATCAGTTTGCTTGGCTGTCTTGAACAGCGGGCTTACGGGTGTCTTAAGCCTATGTTCTATCTTAAGGTGCCCCTCATTAATGACAGAAAGTACGGAAAGACACACAAAGCATACCAAATTTGCTACAGCTTAAGACTAGCCTTACAAGTCCTTTTTTCCGATTAATTTAAACTTTACAGGAGACAATTAGTGATTTTTACCATCCATTCAACCGGTTTGCACAGAGAGAGAGTGAGGCCAGAAGTCTGACTGGTAAGAAATTCTTACCTGTTTGCCAGCATGCCAGGCTTCTGTGTTCCCTTTCCCTGAGTGGCCCTAGTGACCCAGCTTGCTGCATCACAGCCCTGGGGGCCAAGCCACAACACAAAGGAAAATTATCTTTTTTTTTTTTTTTTTTTTTTTTGAGACGGAGTCTCGCTCTGTCACCCGGGCTGGAGTGCAGTGGCCGGATCTCAGCTCACTGCAAGCTCCGCCTCCCGGGTTCACGCCATTCTCCTGCCTCAGCCTCCCGAGTAGCTGGGACTACAGGCGCCCGCCACCTCACCCGGCTAGCTTTTTGTATTTTTTTTTTTTTAGTAGAGACGGGGTTTCACCGTGTTAGCCAGGATGGTCTCGATCTCCTGACCTTGTGATCCGCCCGTCTCAGCCTCCCAAAGTGCTGGGATTACAGGCTTGAGCCACCGCGCCCGGCTTCCGGAAAATTATCTTTTTCTGTTTTGGCCAGAGTAAAATATGTGTGACAAAACTTAGACATTAGCTACTCTGCTTAGCACCCAGTATTAAACTGGATGGCTTAAATTTGTCCTTAGATGGGTCCTGTCATCTTTAATCCAACTTCTGACTAGGAATTTCAACACGTGGTCCCTGGGCAAGATGGTCACCCCGAGTAACAGAAAAGATAATAAAGGGAAAGGAGAGAGAGAAAAGCATTGCCTGTGGCAGGGTGGGGAAGGTGAAGAGCTCAAGGAGACCAGAGAAAGACTCACCCATTCACTGCAGTGACACTGAAAATGAAAAGTTCAGGTGACCACTTGTCAGTAGTGAAGGGATCTTTTCCAGCAGTTCCATCAGCTGTCAAGATTCCCCTTTGGGGGAGGAAAAAGCTCCCATCTCCCATGGTCCCGCACATGCCTAATCCTGTCACCCACAGCTGTCAGCAAAAAGTGTAAGACAGATTAATCCAAAGAGAATAGCACTTAACATTCCATAGTGCCAAACCCGTCCTTAGCCAAAAGGGATTTTACCAAGAGCCCTCATTTTTCAATGTATTTTAATGTGTTGTTCATCTGGAACGTTCCACCGTAAGTTCAAGTGATTCTCCTGCCTCAGCTTCCCGAGTAGCTGGGACTACAGGTGCGTGCCACCACACCCAGCTAATTTTTTTTTTATTTTTAGTAGTGATGGGGTTTCACTGTGTTTAGCCACATGGTCTCGATCTCCTGACCTCATGATTCACCTGCCTTGACCTCCCAAAGTGCTGGGATTACAGGCGTGAGCCACCACATCCAGCCTCTTGTTCTCTTATTTTCTCCCAAACATACAGAAACTCTCTGTTCTGAGCCAACTAAAGCTGGGGGTGGAGTGACATAGGTATTAATACCCCTGTGGCCGCCACCACAATGACTGTGCTGGGTCAGACCTGAAGCCACCCAGCACTGGGTGTCACCCAAGGCCTGTTGTAACCACTCCCTGGCTACTGCCTGTTTGCTTAAGGCCCTGGGCACTACAATGAGCAGGTGGCAAAGCCAGCCAGGCCTGTGTCCTCCCCTTCAGGTCAGTGAGTTCCCCCAGGCCCCAGGTGGGTCTAGAAGTATCATCCAGGAGTCAGGGACTACAGTCAAAAACCTTGTAAGTCTACCTGGTGTTCTATTGTATTACGGCTGAACTGGCACTCAAACCACAAGACCTAGTCCTTCCTGCTTTTCCCTCCCCTTTCCAAAGGCAGAGGAGCCTCACTCCATAGCCACTGCCACCCCTGGCCACAAGGAGTACTGAAAGACTACCACCAATGTTCCGTTAAGGCCCAAGATCTCTTAAGTTAGCTTGTGGCAAATGCTGCGTGGCCTGCGACTCACCCTTCAGGGCACTGGGCTCCCTTCTGGCCTGGGACAGGTCCAGAAATGCTGTCAAGGCCTGGAATCTGGAACTTCAAGAACCTTCTTGGTGCTCTAGCCCCTGTGGCAGTGTTGGTACCTGAAGAGGCAAGTCTCAGAGGCTCATGATGGCCCTCAACGAACGATGGAAATGTTAGGCAAGAATTGTCACACTCATGGCTTGGGGAAACTGCCCCCATTCAACTTTTGAAACTACCAAATGCATCAGTGAATATTTTCTTGAGCAACTTCTAGCATTTAAGAGATTTTTTGTTTTTTCCAGTTTGTTGTACTAATAGGAAGAGATGTGTTTTGTGTTATATGTTGATAGTGGGGGATGGCTCTCAGGTCAGGCTAGACTCTTACCTGTGGCAATTTGAAATACCTTTTTATTTGCTCAGGCAGTGATAATAAATTTGTAGGTCAATGGATCCAAAGGAGTATTTGCAAAAATGGAAAAGGAGAAAGAAAAAGCGGGATGACCCTAATAGCCTTTCTGCAGAGCTCATGTTTGTGAGTGCAGTGAGGGAACTATGCTGCGATTCTGTCAATGGTGGCATGTAGAAAAGCAGCCTGACAAAATGGGGCACTGAGTGTTGACATCCTGTTGCCCACCATTTTCAAAGGCAGGCAATGCCAATTTGGGGGAGATGAAATATTGACGTTTGGGTGAATTGCCTTTCCCTTCCCTGGGTTTACATAGCATTCACTCAATGCAGTTCTGAAGGCAAAAGGACCACTCTCACTCAGCAAACAAGGGAAAAGGCATGATGTTCTCATTTATTGCCAAACATTTCAGCATGAATATCTCCAAAAAATTTTAATAGACGTTTCCTCCCTCTGTATTGTAACAATAATAAGGGCTGTTTTATGAAACCAACACTGAGAATGGGGACCTAATGTTGGCCCATAGCACATTTAGCCCACTTTTGGCATTACTTATGTTTATGAACTTTTGACCACAGCCACATTGCAATTGCCTCTAAACAAGCACTATTACAGTAGGCTTAAAATTTAGACTATGTATTCATGAGGGAGAAGGTCTCCGAACAGTAAGATGGGAGAAAGAAATGGGGCATCAAACAGGGAGAGGAGTCCCTTTGTCCCGTAAAATTTGCAGTTTGGGAACTTCTAGAAGGATCAAAATACAATGGAAATGTCATTAACTAGAAGCTTGGGGGATAGTGTTGTTTAATGGACAGGTTTTATTTTTTGGTCTTTTAACAGTAGGCAGGTGTTTAGGGAATAGTGTTTGTTGATACCTCTTCCACATTACTACTGAACATGTTCAGAGATGCCTATTTGGACACTCCCGCTTTGGGGATGCTGATGAGATTGGGATCTTCTGTTTGAGTAGTGAGGCTAGATGGCTGATGGTGTCCCATGGAGCTGGGCAACCAAGTCTTTCCCACATCCTGGGACTGGGGAGAACCAAGTGAGCTGACCTTGTCCTTAGCCTGGGAAGAGTTGGAGGGAGGGATAAGTTGGAGCATGCAGAATTAGCAATGCTTCCTTTCTCTCGAACTCTCAACTGGGCAAAGCTTTTTGAGAATTTTTGTGAATTTGGACAACATTTGTGTCCTCCTTTCACAAAACTTCAAGCTGAAGTGTGAAGACAGTGTCTAGGGCTTCAGATACCCTCATTTCCCAGCAAGACAATCCATAAACTCCCTGAGCCCCCTGTAACGAGACTTGCCTTGCAATATACCATCTTTTTAATTCTCAAGGAGTTTCGGAAAATGAATGACCCATTAGAGGTTCTTGAAGGAAAGAAAACTTGTTTTAAAATACAGTGTACTCTTACTGATTTTTTACTTTACACTGAGGATGGGCTTTTCAAAATGGGGGCCTCATCCTCTTGGTATGACTTTAAAAGGCACCCTCCCCATTTTTTCCAAGCTCAGCTTCCCCCACGACCAGGGTGACAGTGGCCTAGTAAGTAGTAGTTGGTGGGCAGCTGGATAGCTGATGGTCTGGTATCTGCAAGCAGATATGCCACACACAGCAATACCAGGAGGGATCGAGTTCCACTCATCAGCTACACCTGCACCCAAGAGTGGAAAATGTAATATTACAGATGAAAGGACAGAGACAAAGAAATAAGCCAAGCCAGAGCATATGTAGCACATACTTGGAGCTCACTATGGAAAGGTGTGGTGTTCACCTTTCTAAGATATTTTAGTAGTCAGGAAGTAGCTTGCCTTGATGCACCGGAAAAGGTTAAGGGCAGAGAGAGTTGCTTGTTGTGTGTTTTCCCGTGATGAAATTAAATGCTCAATATACTAAACCTGTTTCTTTTTTCCTCTGATTGAAGATTTGGTTTGAGAATAGAAGAGCCAAGTGGAGGAGACATCAGAGGGCATTAATGGCGAGAAACATGCCGCCCCTCATGGTCGTGGGCCAGCCTGTCATGGTAACTGCAGTTGAGGCCATAATGGCACCCTTGTCCATCAGCAGGATGAGAGATGGTTACTTCTGGGGCTACAGCCATCCCAGCACCCTGTGTTTCTCCATGTCACCCTTTCCTCCTCCGTCCTTGCCCCTTCCAACTGTGTTATTTCCACCTATGCCTCCCCCTGGCCGGGCCCAATTTGGCCGGTTCCCTTTTGTTATCGGGCATTCTTTCACATTCCCCAATGTGTAAGGGATACCCTCTGTGCCACTTTTTGCCAGAGTGTGTTTGAGCCAGATTCGTAGTTTGCGTAGCACCCCATCAAGAGTAGTTCATCAAATGTCTATTAAATGTTTTAAAGAAAAGTAGATTATTGACCCATTTTTAGGGCACTTTAAAAAATGTTTCTATAAATATGTGGAGGGTATGTACATTTGTTTTGTGTGTCACATGGGGTCAGTAAGTTCTGAATAAAAATTGTTAAGAAATGCCGTTCAAACCGAATGTCACGGACTCTCCTCTCATGCAGTAATCTTGAGTCACCATCTGGGGGTTGTGCATGCCACAGAAGTTTCCCATGTGCCTATGGCAGGCTTACACTGACCCACACATTCTCTTCCACCCCTACCCCCAACATCCCATACTCATCTCCTCTCTGCCCCATTGATACCAGATACGTGTGCAAGATGGGGTGGTGTGAGTCCCTAATGAGAGAATAGTGTGTTTTAAGGCACTGCCAGGGTGGAAAACAGCAAAACCAAAATGGTATCGGGAAGGAAGCCAGCCCACTCCTAAAAATTCATTAAGTTTTTTCTTGCTATGGAAGACTTCTTTAAAGTAATTTTCTTTTAAAAATGTAAATGGCTGGGCGCGGTGGCTCAAGCCTGTAATCCCAGCACTTTGGGATGCCGAGACAGGCGGATCACGAGGTCAGGAGATCAAGACCATCCTGGCTAACACGATGAAACACCGTCTCTACTAAAAAATACAAAACACTAGCCAGGCGAGGTGGCGGGCGCCTGTAGTCCCAGCTACTTGGGAGGCTGAGGCAGGAGAATGGCATAAACCCAAGAGGCGGAGCTTGCAGTGAGCTGAGATCAGGCCACTGCACTCCAGCCTGGGTGACAGAGCGAAACTCCGTCTCAAAAAAAAAAAAAAGAAAAAGAAAAAAAGTAAATGTAAATAATGCCATGAAATTATACACTGATTTAATGGCTACAATGGCAAATTTTTATATGGTTTACCAGAACAAAAGAAAAGAAAAAATATACCAAAAAGTTTTTAAAAAGTGATTATGAACATTATGGTGATCCGGTGAAGTGATTGCAATGCCTGCCGATAAGGAGTCACGGTTACAACAATGTTTTCTCTGCAAATTATTTGATGGCCACTTTCACAATGCTTAGGTTTTCAGCCTGACGGAAAATTCCATTTTCTTGGGTGAGCATGAACTTTCTGTCAGGCTTTCTGCTGCTATTCATTCCCCACTTCTCTCTTTACAATTGTGGGTGTCAAGCTTCAGCCACACAATTGCATTTGATGTGAGGGTTTTGCAAGGAGAAGGAGGTTTCTTTGTACCCCTGAAGTCACAAGCCTTGGTGGGAATAGGGAAAGTCCATGAATTCACTATGCATTTATGCATGCCCTTGGGCCAAGTGGATTCTTTTTTCTTCTCCGATTGAGATTCTCCCTTTCTTTCTTTTTTTTTTTTTTTGCTATTATTCTCATTGTATTGTGCTTTGTATAATTATTTACTGTAAGTCCCACATGTCAGTGTACATTCAGTCGGGAAATAGTTTCCATTTGGTACATTTTGTTCCAGTCTGTCTATTCCTGCTCATTATTTTGTTTTTTCTACATTCAGACTGAAACATTTGGTAGCCTAGAGGTACTCAGAAATAGGCAAAGAAAGGTAAAAGGGGAGGAGGGGAGATTGAAATCATACTTCCATTATCCCTCCCCGTGGTTATCAGATTCATAACACGTGGTCCCTGGGCAAGATTATCACCCCAAGTAACAGAAAAGATAAGAAAGGGAAAGGAGAGAGAGAAAAGCATTGCCTGTGGCAGGGTGGGGAAGGTGAAGAGCTCAAGGAGGCCAGAGAAGGAATCACCCATTCACTGCAGTGACACTGAAAATGAAAAGTTCAGGTGACCACTTGTCAGTAGTGAAGGGATCTTTTCCAGCAGTTCTATCAGCTGTCAAGATTCCCCTTTGGGGGAGGAAAAAGCTCCCATCTCCCATGGTCCCGCACATGCCTAATCCTGTCACCCGTAGCCGTCAGCAAAAAGTGTAAGACAGATTAATCCAAAGAGAATAGCACTTAACATTCCATAGTGCCAAACCCGTCCTTAGCCAAAAGGGATTTTACCAAGAGCCCTCATTTTTCAATGTATTTCAATGTGTTGTTGGTCATTTGGAACGTTCCACTGTAAGTTCAAGTGATTCTCCTGCCTCAGCTTCCCGAGTAGCTGGGACTACAGGTGCGTGCCACCACACCCAGCTAATTTTTTGTATTTTTAGTAGTGATGGGGTTTCACTGTGTTTAGCCAGATGGTCTCGATCTCCTGACCTTGTGATTCACCTGCCTCGACCTCCCAAAGTGCTGGGATTACAGGTGTGAGCCACCGCACCCAGCCTCTTGTTCTCTTACTTTCTTCCAAACATATGGAAACTCTCTCTGTTCTGAGCCAACTAAAGCTGGGGGTGGAGTGACATAGGTATTAATACCCCTGTGGCCGCTACCAATATGACTGTGCTGGGTCAGTCCTGAAGCCACCCAGCACTGGGTGTCACCCAAGGCCTGCTGTAACCACTCCCTGGCTACTGCCTGTTTGCTTAAGGCCCTGGGCACTACAATGAGCAGGTGGCAAAGCCAGCCAGGCCTGTGTCCTTCCCTCCAGGTCAGTGAGTTCCCCTAGGCCCCAGGTGGGTCTAGAAGTATCATCCAGGAGTCAGGGACTAGAGTCAAAGAAATATAAGTCTACCTGGTGTTCTATTGTATTGCAGCTGACCTGGCACTCAAACCACAAGACCTAGTCCTTCCTGCTTTTCCCTCCCCTTTCCAAAAGCAGAGGCGCCTCACTCCATAGCCACTGCCACCCCTGACCACAAGGAGTACTGAAAGAGTACCACCGATGTTCCGTTAAGGCCCAAGATCTCTTAAGTTAGCTTGTGGTGAAAGCTGTGTGGCCTGGGACTCACCCTTCAGGGCATTGGGCTCCCCTCTGGCCTGGGACAGGTCCAGAAATGCTGTCAAGTCCTGGAATCTAGAACCCTAAGAACCTGCTTGGTGCTCTAGCCCCTGTGGCGGTGTTGGTACCTGAAGCCAGCAAGTCTCAGAGGCTCATGATGGCCCTCAACATGGTGCCTGTCTATTGCTGCTAGGTATTCAGGGTTCAAGGGCTCTTCAGTTAGCAGGTGATGAATTCTGGCAGGATGGGGTCCTTTCCTTCAAGGTAGTGGGTTCCCTTCTGGCCCAGGGTTTGTCTAGAAATGTCATCTGGGAGCTAGGGCTGTAACAGGGGCCTGATGACTCTGACTGGAGCCCTATCTTGCTGTGACTGAGTTGGTATCCAAGATGCAAGACAAAGTCCTCTCAACTCTTCCCTCTCCTCTCCTCAAGCAGAAGGAAGGGTCTCTTTTAGAGCCACATGCTGTGCATCCTGGGGTTAGGGGAAAAGTGATGCCAGTGCTCCCTTGGCTGTCCCAGCTAGTGTCTCAGCACGTTGTGTCCTGCCCTACCCCCACCCCTGCCAAGTCCACTGTGTCTGGACCTAGTTCAGCCCTAGGACTCACCTAAGAGTTGAAGTCCTTATGACCTAGGCTGCCTTTCAAGTTTAGTTAGAGACTGAGAGCACTTTGGCCCTTCACGGTGAGGTTTGCAGGTACTCAAGTTCAGACTGCTGGGATCAGTAATTCCCCTCTGGCTAGGGCTGGTTTAAATGCTCCTTCTGTGAGTGGGCATCAACTGAGTTTGGTCTGGTTTTCCTTTCTGCTGTAACAGGACATTGCTGAGATCAATGCTTCACAATTGAACTGTGAAGCAAAAGAACTGTGTTCTCCCTTCCCCAGTGTCCAGAGACACTCTCCACAGCACGTCATGGCTGCGAGGGTCAGGGAGGGGTACCGTTGGTGATTCAGGATTGTTTTTTCTATCTCTTCAGTGCCTCTTTCAGTGATACGAAATTAAAACCAGGTACCGTAAGTGCTCACCTGATTTTTGGATTTGATGAAGGTGTTTTTTTCTGTGTAGGTAGTTGTTAACTTGGTGTCCTTGCACAGAGTCACAGGAGGACGATCAGTGGAGCTTTCTATTCTGCCATCTTGCTCTGCCTCCTTTCCTAGCCACATTTTCCCCTGCTTCCCGCTCCGCCCCTGGGTGCTGAGCACATGAGTCTTCAGAACACACCAAGCTCATTCCCACCTTGGGGCCTTTGCACTGGCTGTTCTCTCTGCCTGGAATGCTCTTCCTACAGGTTTTTGCATGGCTGCCTCCTTTATTGCATTCATGATTCTGCTCAAATGCCCTCCCTAAGCACCTGAGCTAAGATCCCCAACCCCACAGTGCCTCTACTTTTTTGTTTGGTTATTGGCTCTCTTGTTTAATCTCTGTCTTCCTACAAGAGGGCAGGATTCAGAATTTAAACAGTGCCCTGACACATAATGAGAGCTCAGTCATCTTCTGTTAAAGATAAAAATGAAGCCACAGTTTAGGTATACCCGAAGGCCAACCACTCATAACCATGCAACCAAAATTTAATTCATCCCGATTTCCCCAAACACCATCTCTAATCATAAATACCAAACATAACCTTTACATCTTTGTCAGCATGATTCAGTGAAATTAAACCAATCAGCTATAGGCAAATCAGTTTAAACAACTCTGTTTACCTTAAAAAGAATGTTAATGTAAAACAGCCAACCACAAAAAAAATCAAAATATTCTCCTTTATGCTTTATAAAGTGTGCTATGACTGCCATAAAGTGAGCTTTCTACCACTTTGTTTGAAGTCTCCTGGATCATGAGCTGTACTTTCTCTTACTATGTAACAGTAAACTTTAAAATGTTTCCTAACTTGATCTGATTCTAATTTTGACACTTCCAATAATCTTGAGAAATGCTCCTGAGCACTTTGGATCTGGTATTCTTAGGGCAAACATTCTCATTTTTCAAAGCAGAAATTGAGGCCCAGAGAGAGACAGTGACCCGCCTCAAGTCATCAAGTTCCAGCACTCTCTTTCCTTACTCCCTTGTTCTCCTGGTCTTGGGGACATCAGACATCTTTAAACATTTGGTCTCACTGTAGAAACTTTGAGACTCAGTGTTCCCTAGAGGGACAGAACTAATAGGATATATATATATGTGTGTGTGTGTGTGTGTATATATATGTGTGTGTGTATATATATCTCGTCCATATATATATATATATCTCCTCCATATATATATCTTCTCCATATATATATCCTCCATATATATATATCCTCTCTATATATATCCTCCA